AAATTATTGTTTTATGAGAAGGTTACACTGATAAATCATAACTACATTCTACACGGATTACTGCCGGCGTCTTTCTCCCCGCTTGGAAGTCAGAAATGCACACGCTAGTTTTTTTTGCCACACTGAGCTCACATGGGGCTATGGACTGTTCACAATGTGTCATATACACTGTAGTGTATCACAGTTCATTTGAAAATCATGTAAGCATAAAGATAAAGGTCAGTCTTTCCATTTAAAACTTTATTTATAAGAAAAGACCTGCTCTAGACACATCATTTTCTATGTAGAATTCCCTTTATTCCATTAATACCGTTTACATATGCCTACATATGCTCCACCTTATCTTCCATCCTCCCGTCCTCCCCTTCCTTCCTTCTCTCCTTCATCTAGCCCTCTGTGGTCCTCTCTCTCTTTCTCTTCCCAGTCCCTTGTCCCTTCATCATCACTCCCTCCCTCCCTCTGGTGTCACGGCTCGCTGGCTCCAGGTGGCGAGGGAGGGAGGGAGGAAGGGATGTAGGGAAGGATGGATGGAGGGAGGGAGGGAGGGATGGAAGACAGGAGGAGGGGGGATGTGCTGTCATCTGTTCCTATGTTCATACCATCACAGTGCAGACCAACATCCTGCTGCACTTCGCACAGTCAAACTGTTCATGCATCAGTTTTTTAATCTAACACAACACTGTGTGGCCTAAGAAATTCAATTAAGAGAATAAATGTCAACTTTTCCATGATGTGACAATATTAGAGTCATGTGTGGTAACGTTCGTATGTAATATGTAAAGGTGAGAATAAATTGCTTTACAGTCAATGAATTTGGTTTTGATTAAGCACCATTCAACACAGAGAGATTTTGTAATTCATAACTATTGCAAGACAAGTATTATTCTAAAAGGAATAATAATTGTAGTAGTACATTCTTTCAATATTAAAGTTTCTGCTATAATATACAGCATACCAAACAATCAACACTCATCACTGTAACAATTATGGCAGTGCCAGTAACATTCGCACAGCCATGTTTTATTCAGCTATCTTGACTTCATCAGTGTGGTCACCAGCAAATTAGCCAGAAACATTTGGTAAATAAAGCATGGAGTTGTGCTGGGCTGTGTTGTGCAATGTGTTTTCATTTTAATTGACTTGCATTAGTGCTCACACTGATCCGTACCTCGCTATGTGTGCGCTCTCAAAGTAAGAAATGAGTGGCAGTACTAACACTGAAGACTCTGGCAGTAGTAGTAGGCTGACATACAGGATGGGGGCAGCAGTAGTGACAGTAGTTGGAAGGGAAGTGCTGGGTGAGTGAAGGCTTGGTAAACAGCTCTTACTACTTCAGATCTTTCTCAAGAAACACCAACTGATCAATGCGTTGAGAGGTAAGCACACTCCTCTGAGAAGACATGCCATCTCCTGTGGCGCTAAAAACTCTCTCAGACAGGACACTTGTGCCTGGGACAGGATTAGCAGGACTTCATAGCAGCTTTTTCTTTTTTCAGACTGTTTGACAAGCTGTCCACTTACTTCCGACATATTTTCTGTTCAGGAAGACATTGAAATTCTCCTGTTCACTCTCTGTGAAATGCTGCACTGTGACATCAGTTTCCGGTATGCCCGGTGACCCCCAGGAAAAATAACTGAGCATTAGTGCAGTCACAGGCACACACCAACAACACAGAAGACAGAGTAGTCTGAAGCCTATTAGTTCAGGTGCAGCAGGGCAGAAGAGAACAGCAATGTTGCTAGCCGGTGGCGAAGACACACACACATACACGCATCAACAATCCACCATCAGAGGCACACTATCTACTTAACACAGAGAGCGAACGAGAGTAACCCAATCAACACTAATCAATGTATCCACCTCCATTGACTCTAAAAGCTTCTTATTCGCCTCATTAAGTCTTCAGTGACACAAAGTAACCACACCAGACCCTGCCTACGAGCACATACACATACATACAGATAGGTGTGTGTGCGTGCATGTGTAAAAGGAAAAAAGGGGGGAGGAAAGGGAGAAGGGGGGGACACTAGGAAGCACAGAAAGATGTGTGCACAGACACACTGCGGCTCAGCCGCAGCCCTTGGGACGGCTGCTTAGACAGCAGACCGACATTACTAGTCAAGCGCATCACAGATTTGACTGCAGGCTAACAGACAGGCTGAATGCAGGTTGACTGTTCTGAAGTGCAACCTCAAGGAACAAAATAAAAGTGTATTTAATACCTTACTCCACACAGACGGATTCATAAACTGCAAGGGTGAAATTAAAAAGTGAAAGTGCTACTGTAGTTATTCAAGTGAAGCGTACTAATTCAGGGACCTTTTTGATTTTTGAAACAGGAATATTCAGAGTGAAGTGATGCCAACCCTGGCCAGCTGATGCCAGACCAACATGAGCATAATTTAAAAGTCCCAAAACTATTGATTATTAAATGTGTGAAGAATGTGAATAGGGAAGGCTACCTAACACTATTAGAGTGCATTGATGTAAATAAGTAAGTAAAGCTCATGCTGAGGACACATCATTAGCCACCACACTCCACGGGGAGCACTTAGATCCAGGTGAGTGGCCACTCAATACCTCCAAGGCATCTGTGTGTGCACGCGTGTGTGTGTGTGTGTGTGCGGTGTGTGAATGAGGTGGGAAGGACAATGAAGCATGCAACTAGCAGCAGGGATTGAGGTGAATGAGGAGTTGAGGTGAGGGGTAACTGTGCAAGGATTCGGCTAAAATTGTGTCAAATTCAAAATCATCCCTAAAGAATGCAATTGATACTGTTGACAAATGGTGAACAAATTTTAGCCTAAGCTACATTTCTGCCTCTTGGTTTTTCCACATCATGCAATGTGGCTTTTGTAGGTGATTTGCCAATATCTTGTGCTCAGTAAAAAAAGAATCAAAGCCTATCTATGATATTAAAAAAAGCAAGGGAATGAAATGCTGATGGGCAGGCGGTGAGACAGCACAATGCTGCCTTGCTCATAGTGCGAGCTAAGGAGACAGAAAGGGGACAAACCTTTCCGACAGGTGGGCTCTTCTACGGGCCATCCAATAGGCAGGTGGGGATGGGGGAGAGCGGAGGAGAGAATGGGCACGGTTAGTAATACGTAGTGTGAACGTGGTGTGTGAGGGGGAGGCAAAAAGTTGATTTACACCTTGATAGTGAACACAACATGAAGCAGGATTAAAGCCATTTCTCCTCAGTCGTACTGTAGACAAATTAGCTTGCGAAGCTGGTGACAAACCCCTCCTTGCAACCTTTATTACCACCTCACAGAGTCAAAGTAAGGAAATGAAAACCCATTTATTGAGTGACGTGACACTACTGTTTACTGTGGTGTTGCTCTGGCTTACAGTATGTAGAACACACTCTCAGCAGCTACAGTACAACTACAGTGACACCTGGACACAGACGGGTTAGGTTTAAAGGACCAGTGTGTAGGATTTAATGCCATCTAGTGGGGGAGTTGCAGATTGCACCCAACTGAATACCACTCGTCTCCCAAGCATGTTGGAGAAACCACGATGGTTGCAAAAAAAACTCAACAAGTCCTGTCTAACGTCAGTGTTTGGTTTGTCCACTCTGGGTTACTGTAGGGACATACTGCAGAAGAGGACTCGCTCCCTCTGTAAATAAAAACAGCTCATTGTAAGGTAACAAAAACCCAACTATGTTTTAAGAAATTATACACTAATGAAAATATGCCTATGGATATTACATTCCATCTCTGCTGATACATCCTCTGAAACGTTACACACTGGACCTTTAAAGCTGACCTCTGCAGCTAAAGGCTACGGTGACAGACAAAGGGGGTAAAAAAGAGAGGGACAGAGGTGAAAGAAGGAAGGAAAGTAATGTTGGGGGCAGGAAATTTAACCAAAAGTGTGTACATGAAGAGAGAGAAAGAGAAAAAGAGAGGGCAGTGTGAAGTGTTATTGGCAGATCAAAGTAAGGGTTGCAGTCAGTATGCTAATTGGAGATTGGTCCCTGATTAGGACCAATGAAAAGGGGAGATAACGCGCTGTGTATGGCTCTTTGTGCACACACACACGCCGCGTGTTTCGTGCAGACACACATATTAAGTATGAGTGTGTGTGTATGGGAGAGAGAGTGCGTGTCTACATGTGTTTGAGAAGTGAGGTCTCATGCTGTGAAATCTAGACTGAGGTGATTAGTAAAGCATTAGTGGCTGCATGCAACACTCAGAACATGCTGTCAAGGACCTTATTCAGGGATGTGTGCGTGTGTGTAGGAGTGTACGGGTGTGTGTGTGTCTGTGTGTGTGTGTGTGTGTGTGTGTGTGTGTGTGTAGGAGTGTACGGGTGTGTGTGTGTCTGTGTGCTCGCGTGTGTGCTCGCGTGTGTGCCAGCTAGCCAGAATTGTTTTACATACAGGCCAAACTGGAAGACATACTGTATTAAATGTATATGTATATATGTAATATCTGCCGCTAGAGGGTCTCTCATATCAAAACAATAAAAAAAAAAGACAAAGAAAAGTTTGGTGAGGTGGTGAAGCAGCGTGGGATCATGGGAGTTGTTGTCTTCAGTACCATTGTGCATTGCAGTCAGTTTCATGGTTCAGGAGGTTTTTACCGG